TATGTTTGATCAGATCTTATATGACATACTGTTGTTCAGAGTTTGGAACACTGAGTTTAACTAAAACATTTACAAACGTGTTCAGTGAGTGAATATTGAATAACAATAGTTATTGCAGAAGTATTAGCAACTCAAACATGAACCACTTGGTTTGTCCTGAATGTCTGAAGAATAATGGAGTTAACGAACAATAAGGTACTACATTAAATCTGGTGTTTGAGATGTCATAACGGATAATGCCTATAGTAATATCACCTAAATGCGTTGGGAATATCCCATCTATCAGACAATATTCAAACGCTAATGATAAACTAGTTTGTTAAAATGATCCATTTCAATCGAATGAGGAAAATCTTTTTTACTATGTAGGTTAATCGTTCAATATAAAGGATTAGTTAAATCCTTATTACTATGCCGGTTAATCATTCAATATAAAGGATTAGTTGTTTGTCCTACACATTTAAGACCACACATATATCACAAGTTAATAAATTTATTACATTATCCATTTTACGTAGTGGTATATCTTGACGTAAATGTTGAAAATCTCTGGCGGCCAACAAGTTAAACATCTAGAACTATTACAAATAAAATTTTCATAAATTAAAGTAGCAGATTTAAATAACTGGCAAAGAACTAGGCTAAGAACCAGTGTATAATTGTGGTAGAAGATTCCTGAATAGGAGAAAAAGGCGATGAATCAACACCTTAACATGGTTTTCCGCCAAATAAATAAATAAATACCTAGTTACATTAATTGTTAATACACATACAGACTACTATTGTTCTAACTTGTCATTTTTATATGCATTTCCGAAATTGCACAAGAATCCCGTTAAGTTTAGATTCATTACCAATTTTTTAAATACAGTTACTAAATCTGTCTCTATTGTACTCAACAATATTCTAGATGTCGTGTTTGAAAAAAATAAAAAAATACTATTATCAAATAATTCGGATAATTATTTTTGGATTATTAAGAACAACATTCCAGTTTTAGAATGTTTAAATAAGTTAAATGCTTTAGGTACGACCAGCTCTGTTTCTACGTATGATTTTACTACATTGTATACTAAAATAGATTTGAAATATTTAATGACAGTATTCAATGACTTGTTCGATAATTTTGTAAATACAGAAACAAACATTCCAAAATTTAAATTTACTGAAGTTTAATGTAAATCTACACTTCATTTTTGTGTTTATAATAGTTATATTATTTTAAACGAACAAGAATATAAACAAACAGTGGGTGTTCCAATAGGAGCGAACTTCTCTTCAAATATGGCCAACCTGAAACAGGCATCAAATCCTAATTTATACATCTACATCTTCCATTACATAGATGATTTATTTTCCATAAATATCTTGAGTTTTACACCTAACTTAATATATCCGAAATAACTAGCAATAAAGAGAAGTAATAGTAATGATGTTCGTACTAATTATTTTATATTTAGATATTAATTTTGTAGAGGGCAGAGTACGGTTGACTATTTTTGACAAAAGAAGGGAATTTAATTTTCCCATCCTTGGTCTACCCACCCCCAGTAGTGTTATTCCGTGTATAATGTTAAAATGTATTATTATATCTTGGTTAAAAAGGTTTTTAATAGCCTGTAACAAGAGTAATTATTTTATGGATAATGTTTTATTATTTATAAATAAACTGAAAGATAATTGAATAAAGACTGGAAATTAAATAAATTATTTATACTTTTTTTTCTATAATAAATACGAAAATATTTAAAAAATAAACTCTCGTTTATGTAAAATACCTTATGGATATATTAGAGGTCGTTAGTTACTATTGGTATATAATTAACTAACTTTGAAAATATAACGTTATTCAGTATGCCGGGACGGAAAGACTAACTTCAAGTAGCTGGGCTTGTCTCGGTTTTCCCGTGTTATACTTGAATAAATCAGTAAGAGAAAAGTTGGAAATGTAAGAATTATTAAAGTAGGGTTTGTAGTTCTGTTTAATATAATTTAGTTGAGTTTAACATCTTTTTGTAAGGGTGGAGGTTGGGAGTTTTATATAGTAGAAATTTCAGTGTGGTTTGATTTGAACTTTAAGTGTAACTTGCTTCTCACAACTGACCGCAGACAGTGAAAGGCAGTAGGGGTACTTTGCTTCCTATCCTTAATTGATATTTCATGATGGCTGTTTAGTTTTTCATCAACATTTGGATGTTGTCTGATAGATGGGATGTTTCCAACGCATTTATGCTATTACCAAAGGTATTATCCGTTATGACATCAAGCTGACGACAAGGACTGACCGTGGAAGCGAAGAAAGAAGCGGACATCTGAGCAGACATCGAGCTAGGTAACGTTAGTAAAAATTACAATGTAAAACTTTCAGTAACTCGGGTATCTAAATAGAAGACGAAAACCAACGACCTTATTAATTCCTCCCATACATAGATTGTAGTTTTAACAACACTCGTAAGAAATTAGAACTGGAAGATAAAGTACATTTAATGAAATATTAAACTGTCATTACGTGACGTTAGTATATCGGTTCTATACACCTTTAAAGCAAGTGTGTAAACACGCCATGCAAGCATCCAGGCACAGACGATTCCGTTTCGAACTCTGCACGTCCTAATTCCTTCATTGTTTTAGCGTCCAAAATCAGCAGTGCCACTTTCTTCTCGCTTTCTTCGTGCAAAAGAGACGACAGCAGAATCCCTGGTCGCGATTAAAAAAATAAATAAATAAAAACTCCAACAAAGTTCGTGATAAAATACTGCAGTCATCAACAATATAAAAGTAACAAGTCATTCCTTATATTATAATTAATTCTAAAACAAAATACGAATGATAAATAAAATTGGTATTTTCTTGTTTATTAATCTTGAATATGTGCGGAAGAAGGGCGATGCGTGTTTAACTAAGACTAAAGATAACGCAGTAAATAAACTCAAAACGTTTTATCTCCAAAACGCTTTATCAGTTTACGAAACTTTTTTTTATAAGTGCATATTTTTGTCACTATTTCGAAACATTCATTCGTTTTCTTCCTGTTTAAAATAATTGAACTTTTTTATCCAGAGCAAAAAAAAAACATTTTTGAAGGAGTAAAAAAAACTGAGATGTGGGAAACTCGGAAATATAATTCTCGAGAGCGGGGTAGTTTAGGTTAACTAAAGCATCTGCTCATTAAGCGGGATGCAGAGTTGCAGGTTCGAGTCTTCCTAGTGTTGGATTTCACTTCTTCAGCTAAACTGAATAAATCGCAAACTAATTGTATCTTGACTTACAAGTTGGTTCCTTATATGGATTAAATTAAGGATTGTTAACTCACCATCGTCTTCTTCAACTGCGTTAGGGTTGGCAACAAATACTGGTTCCGAGGGTATTCTTTTCTCTTCACTCCAAATCTCAATTTCTTTTGTTTCCGTGTTAATTTTCATCTAAATAAGAATTTTCAGTTACGTTTCATAACTTTGTCCTTTAAGTTTCCTGTTCATTTGTTAACTACAAACAAATACTGTGAGAAAAAAATCAAATAAAATGAACACTTAATCAAACACAATTTCATTTACAATGGTCAGTGGTAGGTTTACAATGCTAAGTTCTAGGGTTCGATTCCCTGCGGTGAATAGTGCAGATATCCCATTGTGTAATTTTAAACTAAATAACAAATTAACAACTACACAGTTATTTGTATCAATGATTGAACAGAAACACTTGTATTGGGAACCAAGTTCATCCTCTACCTCAACTACTTCTATTTATCACCTAACACAACTAGTATTACAATTTATCCCGGACGAGTCTCCAAATTATTACGTAACGTATTTCGAATAGCCTGGGACTGAGTTAAATGATAATTTAGACTTGGAAATTAAATAAATGTCGATATGTATCCAAGTTATGATACTTGCGAACAAGATTATTTTTTAATACAAATATATTTAATACACAGTTTACAATAACAGTTATTACAAATATTGATCTATGTACAAGTTTTCCAAACAATATTTAGTCCTCTATCTAATCTGGAACTTCCTTGATCGAGGGTTCGCGATTAATTTTGAATAGATATAGATATAATTCACTTAAAAGGGAGTTGGCTAGCTCTTTTTCGTTCTTCGCCGGTTCGTACGCCGAAATATTCACCGCTGAAGTTAAATGGTTTGTAATATTCGAAATCTATAAACGTTCCTGATCAAATATCCGAAACTTTAAATTAATAAGCATTATAACAGTCAGTTATAGCTTCCGAAGTTTTATAGCACGCTAACTATAGCAAACCAATAATACTGTCTTTATTGTTGGTTATATTTATTGGCGTGAGAAGTTTCTCGTAACTTCAGCTTACGCAACAATATAAACGATACACCACTGATTTTTACATTCGAGAATTTTCTACAATTTTAGAGTAGACGGGAATTTCGCGTTACAGCTTTAACAGTACAAGTTGTGTTAAGTTCTAAATTTTAATTTAAACAAACATATATATATAACGGTAAATCCGTCACAAAAGCTAAATTCACCCCTAACACAAGGAGCTAAGTACAGCCTCTATCTCAACTAGATTTATATAGCTACTAGCACAATTAGCTCGGCCTAGCCAATACAACTAGTTCTGTTTTGGCTCCTAACACAACCAGCTCCATTAAATCAATATCCTTATTTGCACAGGTTGGAGTCAAATATAGCATGCATGCCACATTTTACAGAATGCCATTGAATATGATATTATGTATTTGATGTCGGAGTTATCAACTACTTAATTTACTCAGGAGAGTAAATACCAGGTAGAGGGATACTGAAAAACTGTATGGATTTCGGAGGTTAAAGGTTACGCAAATACAATAAACTATACTATGGACAGAAGTAACTTCATTCTTCACATTTACATTACTTTGCAATCCGATTTGTGAAAGTCCGACTTTGTCAATTCGCGGACATGTATATAGTATAAATACTTCTATAACACCATCTGGTGAACAAAATAGCACCAAGAGTACCTAGCTAACATATCCGATCACCAGCCTGATGTACTGGCTCCAACAATACATCGTAACGAAGGAAAAATATAAAAAATGAACTCCGGATTTGAAAGAAAAATCTACAACTACAATAACTTGTTTTATACGTGGTTAGTTATTGTTCAGGTATTTCTCGTCGAGTCTTGTTGCCAAATTTTCTTTTTTGATGGCTAGCTACCTAGTGATGTATCGCAGAAACTTTTTTGATAAGTAAGGACAATAATATAAAAGAATGAACCCTTATTGTTGCAAACTATATCTTTAAATCTAACCTTTTATCTAATGTTGCAGGGGACGAGGATGGGGTGTAATTGAAGTTTAAAGTACGAATGACGGCCCTCAACCAGCAAAACTTGGCTTACTTTCCCCTCCAAGAAGTGTGAGCATGTTTACATATTAACGTGGCTTGATTTTGTTATTAATACAACTTCTATTGCATTATTAATAGTAATAGTTTAATCATGTTATCTCAGGTTAAGGCAAGCTTTTGATACGATTTAAACTGAGGTAAGTTAATGTCTTGGGGCTCGGGCTTGGCATGACCTAGTAGTTAGGACACTTGACTCGCAATCTGTGGATCACGAGTTCGAATCCCGTCACCGAATAAGCTCGCTCTTTCAGCCGTGATGTGTCATAATGTGACGTTCAATTTCACTTTTATTGGTAAGAGTAGCCCAATAGTTGTCGGTTGGTGGTGTTGACTAACTGCCTTCCATCTAATCTATCACTTTTAACCCAGGGACGGCTAGTATAAATAGCCCTAGAGTAACTTTGCGCAACATTAAACAAACTCACAAAATTGGGTTTCAAATTATTAAGTACAGCATATTTTTGTTCCTCTATGAGACATCGCTAAAATGCGGCGTTCGACTTCCCACTGTGGATACAGCAGACAGCCCAATGTGGTTTTGCTCTAGACCAAATACAGTATATTTTGAAACAAATGTAAATAAGTATCTGAATAATAGCACTTACCATGTACGTTTCTAAATTGGGTACTTTTCGTAATAGCACTTACCATGTACGTTTCTAAATTGGGTACTTTTCGTAATAGCACTTACCATGTACGTCTCTAAATTGGGTACTTTTCGACCTAATGCGTAGAAGAAGCGGTATTTTCTACCATTGTATTTTGCATAATTAATTCCTGGCATTTCGGCATGTCCGGGACCTAAAAAGAAAGTAATATAGATAATTCTAGTATTAGCCACAGTTTTCTAAAGCCAGAATATATATTTATATGAATGGAATGTACGGTAAGATTTAGTAGTATTCATTGTAACCTCTAAACGGTAATACAATCGTATCACTAGTCTAAAAACTTTGATTTAATTTGTTTTTCCTGTTAATATAAAACTATACATAGTTTCTAATAGCACCTATCGTGTATATTCAGTACTTAACTTCTAATGTGACGAACTATTTCGTGAATTATCTGAGGTTGTCTGTGAATAGTATAGATTTAATAGCCTAAAGGTTTTGTTTTTAGACAATATTATGATACTATGACATCTTACACAACTACTAACAATAGATTTATTTTATTTGAGCGGGCTACTTAAATTACTTACCTGCTTCGGTTAGGGCTTCATATTGGCAAAACACTGATCCGTCTTGTTCAAAGTGAGCTGTAGCCTCGGACCCAGGTAGCTTGACAAGATTTTGAGATCTATCTAAATCCTTAAAAATAACAAGTGGATACTTTACAAATAGACAAATATTGTTTATTAATCTTAATTCACAAACTTTAGCTCAAACGGTAGCAACTTGGCATTACTCGCATTCTATCATTTTATTCACGTGGTTTAAAAATGGGTCCTAATTCATCTAAGAATCATTACTGAGTCACGCGAAATAAAATGCGACGTGGTGAATTAGGTGCTAAGCTGAAGGTAAATATATTCATTAGTGTTCAGACAGACTTCCACGAAACAGTGTCATGTGATAAATTAGATACTGCTGAGCGAAAGTATACATACGTTTGTGTTCAAAGGAAACTCCTCCACGGATCAAAGTGTGTGGCGAATTAGGGGCTAAGATGGATCTACGTGTGTGTTGAGAGAGAGAGAGAGAGAGAGAGAGACTCCTCCACGGAACAAAATGTAATGTGGTGAATTAGAGGTTAAGTTAAAGATAACTATTGTACATGTGTGTTCAAAGAAAGCTACTGAACATAATGTGTGGTGAATTAGGGGGGTGAAAGCTGTTATTGATCTTACGCATGTTATTGGATACCTGGACAAATTAGACGCATAAAAGATCAATGAGAAATCGTGTGAACTTAACGACTATGTGTAAATATGCGGTAGTTTTTCAAACTGTTATCTACTACACGCTTTCAACAACAATATTACCGATTTCTTCCTTAAAAGCATCAATTCTCTAACATTGGGCCAGTTAATCCTCAGCCCGAAAAGCTAATCACTAGCTACTCTCTTGCTGTTAAGTAAGCAAAATGACACATGTGTCGGTCAAGGAGAAACTTATTTTTTAGGATGCAGTAACTTTGAAAAGTGTGTTGCGCAAGAGAACAAGTAATATTGAAATTGTTCAGTGGAAGCCTTGCATGTGAAAAATACAACCACTTCAATAAATGAGTTTAGTTAAACAATGGTAACATGTATACATAGAAACGAATAAAAACCATATAACCCCGAGCGCTTTCGAAAGGTGGACCTTTCTTCTTCAGGGGCAAACTGGGAGTGTTCATGAACGCCATCCGTAGATCTATGTGTAGATCTATTTCTGTATGTACTGTTGTAAGCGTCTCATTTCCTGTACAATGTAACCGATGGCGAGAGTGCATGTGAAAAGGTGTTAGATATTTTACTTTAGAAATTGCTAAATATATCTATTTAAAACTATACTTAAGTATTTAAGTGAAATAAAGGTGACACCTGAAGACTTGTTGAAAAATATATTATGCTAATCAACTTATAAATACGGGTATGAAAAATTATCTTAAATAGCAAGTTTTAGGAAACTCGGCGTTTACATTACATAAACAACAACAACAACAAAGAATAAAAATATATTCTGACAGATGAAATCAATGAACGGAGATCACCGATTCCAGGATCTAGATTAATTTCAAAAGGTTGAACAGTGTTTATTTCTCTCGGCTTTAGTTTTGAATCCCATTTCAATGTCGATGATAGTAACATCGATAATGGAATGACCGAGTTGATTGGTGTCGAGCAACAGAGATAGGTTTCGGTGTTAATAGAAGATCTATGTTTGAAACGTTCTCTAAGAATTGTTTGTGTATGTCCTACATATTGATGATTGTATTTTTTCCATTGTATAAGGTAAATGGTGTTTTTTGTTTGACAAGTGATCTCTTTAGATATTTTAAAGATTCATTGATTATGCTTCTAATAAAATGAGTCGGTGGTTTCTATGAACTTGCAGGTTTGACAACAGGCTTTATTCCATGACGACAAACATCTTTGGGTGTGATATAATTCACTTTTGTGTGAACAAGGATATCTTTTAGTTCTGATTTTTCGGAAGGAGACAACGGCAACTTCACCAAATATCTGTAAGACGATAGTTGAGCTGTTGGAGATAATTTTTTCAGAATTCGTGAAACGTTTGAGTTTAAACTGATAGGTAATAATAAAATGAATTATGTTTGAAAGTTTAGTATTGCTCTGATTTAGGATGTTTTTACATTGAGTGTTGTTAGCATTTTCAATTTGTCTAGATTTCGGTATCTTTATATCTTTGTAACATGCTTTGTTTTAGATCCTGGTGTTTCCTGTAATGTTTCATTTTCTTTATTCTAAGAGCTTGACTGTAGGTTTAGTGCGAAGGGTGGCAGCTTTTATTGTGAAGGTATTGTGGTCTGACTGTAAGGTTCCTGTACAAGTCAGTATGTAAAATTCCGTCTTCTGGAAAAACAGTGACGTCAATAAAGTTATTCTGGGTAGGAGAGTAATCACAGGTAAACTTGATTGTTTTGGGAAAGGAGTTTGCATGTGAAAAAGTGATTTAAGACCGGCTGTCTAAATGAAAAATATGTCGTCTATGTAACGTTTCCAGGTATGAGGTTTTACAGGGCTTAGTTGTAAAAACTAGTTTTCAATATGACCCATACAAATGTTGTCTTAAATGGGAGCCATTTTACTTTTTGGTGCCCATCGCAGCATCGTTAACCTGACTGCAATGCTCCTTATTAAATTCGAAGTTGTTAAAGTTAAAATCAGGCTGGCAAGATCAGTTACTGACTTTAGAGTTTGTAGTCCATCATGTGGAATATTGGTGTAAAGGGAAGAAATATCCATCGTGCAAAAAAGACTGTTGGGTGATAAATGTCCGTTGGTATTAATATCTTCTATGATGTTAAAAAAGTGATTAGTATCCTTTATGTAAGAATGGAGGGTATAGGGAATACATTGTGTTGGTCAACAAAAGCGGAGAGCCAGGTTTATATCGGAAATTATGGGTCGGCCAGGATTCAGAATCTTGAATTTTGGGTAAGAGATAAAATCTACCAGGAAAAGCTTGTATGGGTATCAAATACAAAAATATTTCTTAATCTTATTATTTTGGAGTCCTTTAAGCTTATCAGTTATGGTCTTAATAAACTGAGTTGTGGGATCATGAGGTGTTTTTGTATAAATTCGTGTTCTTTAGTTGCCAATTAGCATCCGTGCTATAGTCATCTTTGTTAACAATAGTTCCACCCTTGTCTGCTGGCTTTATGATATTATTTGATTTGAGATTGTTTAAAGCACTTCTTTCATTTTGGTTAATATTATCACATTGCTTGGAAGATTTTAAGGTCTGCATTATATCATTTTCTATTGCTTTAATGTAACTCTAAATGTGATTCACTGTTTGGAGGTGTCCATAAAGACATTAAAGTTTGTATGTTTATTTTCAGTAGGGTGGGGTTTGTTGTAAAAAAAAAAATCTTCGCAAAGTCTTGGTCTCCTTAGTAAAGGTCTCAACTTCTGCCCATATAACAGCTATATTAATGAGCCCGAGCTTCTTTCTGATCTTCATGAATTCTCTAGTTATGCCTGAAAGATTAGCAATGTTAGAAATATGTCGGAAGTGTTCATTGTTTTCTACAAGTTTTATGAGGTCACTGTTATTTTCAACATATTTGTTAGTGTGAGAAGGCTTATGCGTATTAGAGGATGAAGTGTGAGATGAAGGTAGTTTGGTAGTTTCTTGCAGACAGCTTAATGCTAAGATAGTTTCTTTATGACGAAGAGGATTCGAAAGAGTTGTTAGAAGCGCTTTTTGAATTGGTGTTATTGGTAGGAACCTGATTTGTCCTTTTTAAGAAGTGATGTATCAGTTCTCTTTGTAAATTCTTAGTTCTTTTTCTTCCAGCGAAGGATTGTACAGGTGATAATAATGGGATATTTCTTTATCTAGAATATCGAGAGAATTTGGAACAATGATTTACTGATATTTACGAGTTCTAAGGAGGGGTTTTCAAGGATCTGTCATTTGTTGCAGAAGTTCTGATCATGTGCTCCTATTGTTATCGGTGCTTTTAATGCGAGAGATTGAGGTATGTTTCGGTTTTGCACTAGCGACTTGTCATGTTGACAATATTTTTGTACGTTTCTCAGTTAAAGTTCTTGAAATAGTTGTTTTCTGCTGTACTTGAGTGATTCGTCACTTGGTTCACGTTGAATGTTGACAGATATTGGTGTGAGGACATAGTTGTATATAGAGAATGGTTAAGTTTGAGGGAAGGAAGAGGAGTAACAATGTTCTTCAGAGTGTGGAGTGCATTACTGGTCGCTCTGAGAGTTGATGCTAACAGATGAAACTGATATAATGAAGAGACTGATCGACTTGAAAGTTGTAGTCTTTACACTGATAGTGATTTGGTGTGGTTTTGTAGATAATGGAAGGGCTTTTGTGTAAACAAAGAACGAACAGCATAAGCAGAACGAATGTTGCTAGTTGTGGAATGCGATGTTTTTTTGGGGGAAAGCGTGATTTGTTTAGTTCTTTATCAGAACTTAGGATCACTGTGAATGAATTTTTAGTTGGGTAGGTTGAGTGAAAGAGGTATTATTGTGAGAGACGTTGGTAACTTCTGAGTGAGGGTAGAACAATTACTAGAAGTAGGAAGAGGAGATGATTGAGGTAACTTAGAGGAAGAAAAGAGTGAGGGAATGATTCGGGAAATAAATTACATTAAGTTTGAGGCCAAAGTATAAATACCAGAAGTTGAGGTGAAATCCATCTTGTACAAGCAAAGTTGTGAGTAGTATTAGGTCCATGTCATTAACGAATGTAAGTTAGTGGTTAAAGTCTGCATAGGTGTTTGGTTAATTCATTAAAATGCTGAATTTTGTTTAATTATGCTATTTTGTGCATTGCAATCAGTGGAAGTGTCTGTTCACATGTCTATATATTACACTAGATCTAGCCAGTTTAATGTGTGGTATGATGCTGAAGATGTGTGATCTTGTGTTTTCAAGTTCATAAAAAACCAAACTCATTTTCTGACAAACACAATCAAATAAACTTTATCCAAAGAAATCACTTTTGAAACAAAAAAAAACAAAA